GGAGAACCGGGGTGGAGAGCCGGGGTGGAGAACCGGGGTGGAGAACCGGGGTGGAGAACCAGGGTGGAGAACCGGGGTGGAGAACCGGGGTGGAGAACCGGCGTCAGCAGAGCATGAACGTGGCCGCTGCTCTGCACCAGAGCTGGTCAAGAGGGAAGTTTCTATTAGACTGTAGAGGCAAAACCTTTTTGGAGGGTGGAGATGGGAACACAGCGATGGCTTCTTTCTACAAGCAGCCTGCAGAAGAGCTGCAGGCACCCGCGCTGTTATCCCGGGGTATTTACAGGGTACGTCCCTTGGGAGGCACCAGCCAGGCCACTGGTCCTCTCGCATTCTACTCCTGCGTTACGCTTCCGCCCGACCATCAAGCAGCTGACGGAAAAGGTCATCGATCCGGGGGGGAGTGTCAGGTTGTGGGTTTTTTTTTGCCTTAGGTGTGTCCAGTTGTGTTTCCCTTGAGGGAGCACGGAGGTGTTGGTGCTGCTGCTCTCACCCTGTAACTCATGAGGAGCCCGGGAGACGCCCCACGCGAGGCTGAGGCATGGGGTCTGCCGCTGTAAGGTGCTCCCGCTCAGGAGAGCATCCTCGGACCGTGTAGTCTTGGCTGGATATTGGGAGAGGGGCTCAGCAAAGGCCCTTCTCAGTATAATCCTGACCCGTTCCAAAGCGTGCGTGCGGAGTGCTGCCCCTGAAGCAGAGCCGGACGGTCCCCGGGCTGTGTGGGGAGCGGCTTGGCCGCCTTCCCCCCATCCCTCAGCTCCCGTCCTTGTCCCCTGTGCAAAGGTGTCCAGCAGAAGCCACACCAGCCCTTTGCCCCATGTTTCCCACTGGGCTCCCCGTGGGCTCCATAACCCCTCTCGTGTCCCGAGCACCACACGGTCTAGCCCTAGGGCAAGACTTCTCATTTTTTTCAGCTATTACTAATTAAGAGGCATTAATTACCCATTCGTTTAGCCTGAGTGGAAAGCAGCTATTACTCCCAGCGTGGGCAACATAATTACATCGTAGCCTTCACTGATTTCTTGCTAAAACTCAGAATCCTTTTGTCCTCCTGGGGTTGCAATCCGCGCCTGTTTCAGGGCAGGAACTTGTTTCTCGGATGTGTTTTTTTTTCTTGTACAAACTTTACAGCAAGGTCATTAAAAATTAATGTTCGTACAATTATGCATAGGAAGGGCCAGTGCCTGCCAGCAGCTCCAGTGCTTTTGCTGTGGAGCTTCTTATGTTTTCCCTGCTCACCGCTTATCTGCGTGCAAGGATGTGCAGAGAGCCCTTGGAAAGCCCAGACTGTTTTGTGATCGATCAATACCTGGCTCCAGGGGTTTTTCTTCAGAAGCCTGCCAGGATTCTCCATATTCTCTTCCCGGTTCCTTCATCTGAAGGGCAAACGCCGCAAAACACAGCGCTGCCCAGGGGCGAAACGCTACCGGCCGACGTACGCGTGTGCCGTCAGTAATACTGCCTTCTCCTTTTCCACAGGCCTTGCCTTATGTGTGTCTCCTCATTGCAATGCTCTTCTTCATCTACGCCATTATTGGCATGCAGGTAAAAAGTTTAGCTTTAATACCGACCGTAAGTAGCCTGGTTCTGTCCCGCTGGTTCAGGGTGCCAACGGGTTATTGCCTCCAGGGCAGGATCAACAACTGGCGCAGGATGAGGCGAAAGGCGCTTCTTGGCCGGCGTCAGGAAAACTAAAAGTGCAAAAAAAGGCCGTTTTTTCTACCCTTATTGGCATGCCTTGCACTGACCGTGGCCCCCCGGGTGTAGAAAGGCACCGCAGCTGCGGGTGACGGGCTTGCAGCACAGCGTCTCCGGGGGCAGCCGCGCCGCCGCGGGCAGGGCACGTCCCTTCCTCTGGGCACGGGCGCGTCGAGGCCGAGAGCAGGGAGCAGCTCCGGCGTTGCCCCTTTCTGGAAAGAAATGAAACGGTTTTCTTGGCCTGGGATGGAGCTGAACTGTGGTGTTGGAAATGGTCTGTGCGAAGGCGAAGCACGTTAAACTTGATTTTTTTCCCCCATTTGATCTCCACAACACATTTTTATCTCCCTCTTCAGCACAGAAATTGTTCTAGCTTTCCAGATCCCTTGAATCAGGAGAAATTCTTTTTCTGCCTTTTCTCCCAACTCCACTTGATCTACGTGAGGATGCGTTTGGCCTGAATCCCTTCTGGTTTCTGTGGCAGGTATTTGGAAACATTGCACTAGATGATGAAACCTCCATTAATCGGCACAATAACTTCCGTACCTTCCTCCAAGCCCTGATGCTCCTGTTCAGGTAAGTAAAATGCCGTAAGACTTGCATGCAGGCAGTAAATAAGCCCTTGCTTTCCCGGTGCCAGTTTAGCTGCTGAGACTTGGGCATCCTTTGAGGAAGGTATTTGGAGCAAAGCATCCGTTCCTGCTTCCTCCTCCTCCTCGGCGTTAAGGGTTGGCCTGGCACATCTCCGAATACAATAGATCTAATTCAACACGCCAACGTCTCCACGAAGTGACACCCAGCTCTGTGACACCCCACGTCGACTCAGGCAGAAGCTTAATATAAGACAGAAACCTCCTGTTTTAACTGATAGATGTGGTTCCTGTCATGAAACTTACTATTTTTATTTTTATTTTACAGTGAAAATTCCTTTAATTGGTCATTTTTGCATTACCAGCAAGTTAACACTTCATATGTCAATGCCACCTCTGCTTCAGAGTGAAAGTGTTTCCATCTGGGCTCATTCTGCCTGGAAACGAAGCATTTTCAAATTAAAAAAAAAAAAAAAAAATCAGTGAAATGACAGATTTTCATTTTCAGACCTGGCAAAAATGAAGTGCAGGCCCTGCTCCAAATCGGGGCAGCTCGGGGAAGATTTCAGTTCCCTGGACGCGTGCCGCGTGGCGTGGAGACGCAGCGGTTAACAACCGCGCTGGCCCCACAAGCGCTTGCCAGCCGCGCCGGGGCTCGGGTCTGCAGGTTATGCGGCGCTTGTAACTGGATATCTTGCCTGGGATTTGGTGTGCATAGTTCCCGTGAAACCAGACGGAAATGAAATTAGCCCTCTCTAGCTCAGAATAATCACCCGACTCAAAACTCTGAATTTTAACAAAACCGGATAATTATTCAGTCTCGTGTCCAGAGCTCTTGGTCCCTTTCCAGACCCACGCGGCAGCCGCAGCGGGACCGCGATGGGGGAGCGAGGTTCTGCACAGGGGAAAGGGCTCCCGGACGCCGCGTGCTGGCGGGGGGCAACCTGCTGTAAATTCGGCGTAGCCTGGAGCTTACACTGAGTACCCAGTTTTTGCAAAGACCAGGAGGAAGGCTTGTGAGCCAGCTCTGTGTACAAATCTGCACGGCTGCGGACAGCCCTGCGACGAGACGGGCTGTTCGCGGCGCTGGGGACGGATGCCCCTACGGGCACCTCTGAGCGTGGCGCAGAAGGGTCCCGTAGAAAGTCAGAGTAAGCGAACGTGGGGATCCCCCAGTCTCCGATCCGTGTGTGCACATTGCGGGGGGTGGTTTGTTTTGAGGATAGACCCTCCGGGACAGCAAAGATTTGCCTTCTGGTAATTTTTTCTTTATCATAGTGGTAGAAATTAGGATTTCTTTCGAGTACGCCTACCTGTTACTTCATTCTCGCACCCAAAGTAAGGGGGAGGAGGGAAACGATAAAGAAAACGCTTTTTTTGTCGTGAAAACTGGATCCAAGTCACTATGACCAACCAGACCATCCTGGTATTTCTATATCTACCTGATAAAGGAAATAAGAGATGCGGGTGGAGGAGCCTTGCTTTGGTTCCCATCGTCAATGTTGGGTTTGCAGCCAGCACCGGGACAGAAGTGTTAGCTGCTTCAAAAGGAGACAAGCTAAACTCCGTCTACTTAGACTTGCACTTTGCACTGGACATGTTTAAATCAATCTGGTTTTGTTCTCCGTAAAATCGGTAACGCTTAGCCTACCTGAGCCGGTGCGGTTTCTTTTACCCCTGTGACAGAGGTAGCTGTTCTTTCTCCTTTCTTTTTCATGTCAGCAGGCTGGTGGTTCAGGTTCCTGATGTAAACATAGACTCTCCACCCAGACACAACCTTCCACCTAGTTAATTTAGTTAATTGGGCGCGGTAATACCGCAAGGTGGGTGCCCTGCCGGGTCTGTATCGGGGAGGGGGCTGGCCAAGCTCACCCTCTGCCCTCCCCGTCTGCAGGAGCGCCACGGGGGAAGCCTGGCACGAGATCATGCTGTCATGCCTGAGTAACAGACCCTGCGACCCGCTCTCCGGCCTCACCAAAAACGAATGTGGCAGCGATTTTGCCTATTTCTACTTCGTGTCGTTCATCTTCCTTTGCTCCTTCCTGGTAAGTTGGGCCCAATCTCTCCCAGAGTGGAGGTGCTGCTGCGGTCGTGTGTCCCTCCCCATCCCCTTGCTTCCTCCTCCTCCCTAATTATGATTTATACAACACTACAAGACAGCCTCACTAAAAACCATTTATCATCCTGGTGATAAAATCCCTTTAATTCCCAAAGAGATCATTTAGTCATTAGTTTAAAGGGAAGGTTTTTCTCTTTCTTCTCACGGCGGGGGGTCTAATATTTGGAATTAGGCATTAATCTGTTTTGTCTGGATTTGTAATATGGTCCTTTGAAGAAGGGGACTGGGGAGGGCAGGGTGAGAATGGCCAAGACAGCACTGGTTCAGAAGTGCTTGCAGCAGGCAGCTGGGAGCATCACACTTATTTGATGCCTTGTGTTCTGTTTTGTTTGTCAAATAAATGTGATGATCCTTATCTTCTGCAAAGGTGCCAGCAAAGCTTTTAGACATGAAAGTACACAGAGCTGTTGTACGTGATTCACGCCCGTGGCCATCACACGGGGCTGGGTCTAAGCTTTAATAGGTGCCACAGAATCACAGAGTCATTAGGGTTGGAAAAGACCTTTAAGATCATCAAGTCCAACCATCAACCCAACACCACCATGCCCACTAAACCATGTCCTGAAGTGTCACGGCTACACAATTTTTGAACACCCCCAGTGATGGTGACTCTCCCCGCTCCCTGGGCAGCCTGTTCCAATGCTTGACCACTCTCTCAGTAAAGAAATTTTTCCTGATATATAGTCTAAAATAATCTTTCTGATCACTTGCATGCATAAAAAGCTCTCTGCTCGTGGGGCTTGGTTCGCTTTCCTGCACCACTGGGAGAGAGGAATGGAAAACCAGGGACCGGGACCCAATTAAACTTCAAGCAGGAAGAGATGAAAGTCACAGCTCTGAAATGTACCAAAAAGCAAAGTATCAAGCCTACGTTCAGGTCCATGGGTTTGCTTTAAAATACAAGATTTGATGCTTTGTGCCGCTAATCCCTGTTATCATCAGAAACCTTTAACCAGGAAAAAGAGGTACACGTGGCAGTTTGATGCTGGGTGATGATAGACCAACTGCAGTGGCCCCTGCTGGGATGCTTTGTCTGACTGCTGTTGCCCCTTTGACATCCCCTGGTTTCTTTCTTCTGCGTAGGTTAAAAACCATGGAGCCTTGAAAGCTTGTACAAAGTTAATGCTCCATTTACCGATTCCTTCAGCACTCTGTATTTTAAAGCCAATTTTTTTCCTTGTATAAATCCCTCACCCGACATCGGACATTCCTGTTGTTATTTTCAAGTTGCATTATCGTTCCCAAAGCCTTTTCTTTAAAATAAACAAGCAAACACCCCTCCAGACTGACCCTCCCGGGCTCATATCAGCTGTCTCATTCGCAATGTAGTAGCAGGATTGGAGGCTGGAGCACATCTGTGCAAAATACAGCTTTCCATGAGCTTTGTCCCTGAGTCAGCGCTTGCGGAAAACCCCATGAAACCACACCCCGGGCTTGCTGGCGGAGAGAGGGGAGAGCCCTCGCGAAGAGCAAAGGCAGGGAGGGCAGGCTCCAAAAATAGGCAGTGGAAAGCCAAGCGGCTGGATGGCTACGGGACAGGGCTGTAACTCATTTCTTAAAATGCGTTCAGCACTTCATTGCAATGAAACATGTGGTTCCCCACAAGTGATTAAAGCATTACAGAGCCACAGCCTTGCCAGGAGGGCACGTTTTTATGGCTTGTTCGATGTTGTTACACCATAGATTGGGAGGGAGTTGGATAAAACATACTTGTTTTTAAATGTAGTTTCTGGGTCTTTGTGGATGTCCAGCCTGACGTAATTTTCCTCCTGTAATTTACACTGTTGAAAAATAAAAACGGAAGTTTAAAAATATACAGATACTTTAGAAACAGCTGTAGGCAAGAAAGGGAGAACTGTTCTGAGCCATGGCTGGAGCTGGGAGCAATGGAAAGGGACTTGGGATCGAGGAGCAAACACTCAAAAGCGTTGCTGTCTCCTGATGCTCTGGGGGTACGGTGTTACAGTGGGGGACCTGCAGCACATGAGTGAGCCCCGCTGGTGTGGCTATTCTTGCGAGCTGGGCTGGACGTCCCTGTGCAGCACCGCATGGGGCACTGCACCGAGGTCCCAGGGCTTGTCGGGGCTGTGCTGCACGCAGACCCTGTGAGCCTCCAGGAACCGGGGTGGCACGAAGCACTGGCTTGGCTCCCCAAACCCAACGGAGGTGTTTGATGCAGCGTTGCGTTCGAGCTGACGAGCCCGAACGCTCAGCCGCGGGAGCGAATTCACGCACGTTGCTGCAGAGGCAGAAGCCTTGTTTGCAGCTGAGGCGTGTGCTCAGCTCTGTGCTCTACAGCTTGGCCTGAAGAAGACCCTTGGGTGCTGTAAGACACCCCGGTGCCCTAGTGTAGGTCATTGATGCATTGTGGGCTGGGTTCTTCTCTCGGCTTTCTGGTGGGGTGGGTTCTAAAAAATAGATGGACTAAAGGTCTGGGAAGTCCCTGATTAGCTTTTGGTGGTGATATGGTGATTTGTTATGGACCGCGCTTGTCTGTACTGGTGGACCGTGTGTCCCAGCAAGAGCCAAGACCCCTCCTCCCTCCAGATCACACAGGAATATGAATTATTTAAAATTGCTCAAACCCCAAACTCCTCTGTCTGATTTTCTCTTAATGACCGGCAGACCAGCTGGGAGCATCCATATTCAGTTTAATTCTGCTCATCCCTGTGGGTGCTTCCCCGCGGTCCTCCTTGCTCGGCGTGGTGCAGCGGAGCAGCGCTCGCGGCCGCAGCTCGGCCTCCCTGCAAAAAGGCACAACGTAGGTAGAAAGTGGCTTTGTGCCAGTCAGGTCTTTGTCCAGCGCAGGAGCATCCGTCCCGCCTGCCTTCCTGCTCTGCCGTTCTGCTGGCTGCAGCTTCATCTTTTCCCATTGCGATCCTTGTGCCTCTTCCGTTGGCTTGAATATGAGGAGAATCTTTACATGCCAGAAGCGTTTGCCAGGCTCTGTGCTAGCGGCCATTAGGGACAGGAGCCTTTTGTGCGTCCTGCCCCTCATCTTTCTGGGGATCTTTGAAGGTTTGAATTGTTATGCGTCTAAAATAGGACATTCAGGCTGAAGAATGGTTTTTCTTCTAGCTATTCTTGCCTTGATGTGCCTTGATATGAAAGTGCTGGAAGGGTTCATACCCCCCGGTTGGTGAAGCAGCCACTGCAGCCCGTGTGCTGGTCTGTACTGGTGTAGGGTGAAGAAGGGGCGAGGAAGAGGTGCTGAACCACGCGGGCTCTGGGATGGGTCATGCTGTAGGGCATTGCCAGTGACGGGGACGTGGCCAAACCATCCGCAGCCAAAAGCCACGGCAAGGAGCTGGAAGTGGCTTGCAGCGTGCAGGGGAGGAGGAGGTGGCAGCAGGGTCCCCAGGGACCCAGGGCGCGGTTTGTAGGGTTTATTCTTCTTGTAGAAACCACACACCCTGCTAAGGGAAGCCTACCTTCTCCCCTTCCAGTTTTTCCTTTTTTTCCCTTTCCTTTTTCCTTTCTAACTGCATTATTGCTTCCTCTCTGCAGATGTTAAACCTGTTTGTGGCTGTGATTATGGACAATTTTGAATACCTGACAAGAGATTCCTCCATCCTTGGGCCCCATCACTTAGATGAGTTTGTTCGTGTCTGGGCTGAATACGACCCAGCTGCCTGGTATGTACGCTGTTATACTTATATGTGGAGAAAAGGATATACATTGTGCGTAAATACCATACCTGTACACACAAACAGCCTGTCCTTAACGTGAGTACAGCTCCAGAAAGAAAACAACTCAAAAGCTTGAGGTAAATGTTGGTGGTAAATGCTCCAACTTTAATTCACTGTGCGCTGGAGATGAACAAACCTGATGTCATTACAAGGGCACTTCCTTCAAATAGACATGAGATACACATAAAGCAGCAAATCAAGAAAGCAAATGCACCCTCCCCCCACCCCAGCCAAAATTAATAGGGTAAGTTCAAATGATCTTGGCTAAATGACCAAGTAGAAAAGATATTTAGCATTTCCAAAAGGAGCTTTGATTGCCTTTGCTTCCAGCACCCCAATTTCGAGATAAAAACATGCGGACTCTCTTGCCATTGGCAGCACTCTAGGTCACTGGTGAGCGAAGCCTTGCTACACCTCGTTTGTGCAGCATTTCCCTCCTAGCTGAGAACCACCTCAGTGGTTTCACAAATCCTGTGCAGAGACCTGAGGCCACACACATAAAAATTCAAGTTTTCAAGGTGCTCGCTCTCCCTTAAAAGGAGATCATCTGCTTTTGCGTCTGCTTTGCGTCTGAGTCAAGTTCTACGCACCCAAAGCTTCATCATTTGCTTTCACCCACCTGTGACGCAGCAGGGAGTGACATGATGTTTCTCAATGTAAGGGTGGTTTGCTAAAAACATGTGATTTTGAAACAGATATTTCTCATCAAACCCAATGTTTTGATCTTGGAAGCCTCCTTCTAATGACATCAAATGGGAGAGGGGAGTTTTGTTCTTCTCGCTAATATTCTAGCTTCGGGACTTGCGGTTGAAACATAAGACACGAGAAATAATAATAAGAAAATGCAATAAGCCTAATCTTGTAAGCATTTCAGGTCTCAGGGAGCCTGTGATAAAATGTTCCTGATACAGGCGTGTGTTAAAGAAGGAAATGGTTTTCTCACAGCCAGGCGGTGAGGTGTTTAGTCTTATGGTTTTATATCTTTGTTTTTCTTATTCAAAGACACTCGCAGGGAAAGCTGCACGTCTGGGTTTAAGTACCGCGGCAGCGGAGGAGCGGCACTGCGCTGTGACAGACCCAGGAGCCGCTGCTGAAGCATTTTAAGGAATTTTTTTTTAAATGAGAGAATGGCTCTGAGCAGTGAACACTGCTAGAGCGAGACTGACTTTAATATTTTGCTTTTCTCCATTGCCCAGAGAAAGACGCCGCACAACAGTCCTGGTGACTGTGTTATTTTCACTTCTAGATGCTCTGAGATACAGGTCATGGTAATTTCCTTGATATTCTGCAGCTTTGGAATTTGCTCATTGGGAGACTTCTTTTTTTTTTTAATTTATTTAAAGCCCTACAATTTTTGTATCCATTTTCCTCCCCACGACTTACTCTGCAATGAATCTCCTCTGAATTTGTAACGAAGCTGCCTCCAGCCCCTCCAATCTTTCCACTTTTTTTTGTTTCCCTTCGGTAGAGACAGATGCAGAAAGAGTTTGTATAATCAGCATCTCAAACTCCCTGCTAGGATGCAATTAAACTGCTTTAAAATCTCAGTTAAATTGATTTAGGCTAACTTTAAATGTAAACCTCTTCCAAAATGACTGCATTTCTCTGAACTGTGTGTGATTTTAACTAGCTCAAAGCCATCCATACAACGAGCCTGCGTATATACTGCGCACATACCAGCAGCTTGTAATTTCGAAGCAGATTTTCATTACCATGTGCTCTGTAACACAGGCAAGTCCTTTGTGGGTATTTGGCAGGCAGTAAATAGCTTTTTTTTTCCTTTTTCAAATCCAGTCCTATCTCTTACCACTAGAAAATTTCAATGAGGCTGAAAACCTGGGAGTGCCCGTTCGCTCCTTAAAAAATAGTCTTGGCTCCGATTAGCATCTGTGGGAGGAGTAACACACCTGCAAGGGAAAAAATTAGTATCAATGTGCTTTTTTAAGGTTCATGTGTTCACGAACTTTCCACTCACAAGAGGCACAAGCATTAAGTTTGCAGAAAGATTTGCTTGCTCTATTAACTCTCAGTACAGAGGTTACATTTTGTGAGTCACTCGGGGGCCAAACCTTCTCCTAGAGCCGCTAATACAAAATATGTCATATATTAAGATCCTAATTCTGGTTTTCTCTAACCTTGTTCCCGTTTTGCTCTGGTGTGAAGCTATTGATGTTGGCAGAGTGACTGGGGGCCGAAGGGCAAATCAAAAGACAGCCAAGACATGATGCTGAAGGCTTGATCCTAAAACACGCGCATGGTCTGGATTTTCCATGCGTGAATAGTTCCACTGAAATCTCTTATGTTTTGATACGTGAGACTAACATTTCCTCAATTTAAAAGTAATTTGAAATCCATTCACAGTTTAAGGCCAGAACAGATCTTCTGGCCATGTGGGCTGAGCTCCCGTGAAGCTCTGGACATGGTATTTCATAATGGCTACCCATGACTGAACCTAATGCCTTGTCTTTTAAGGTACGGCTCCCAGCAGCACACCCCGGTTTGATCCGAGGACACGGGACTCTAGGGGAGCCAGCTTTTATTCAGCTGTTGGTTCCACTAGCTGGTGAAACTAGCTAGAAATGGCAATTAATTTTTGTTTTCCATGTCAACCATCTCCTTCTAGCATTGCAGCCCCCAGTATATACACATATAGGGGAATGATAAATAATCACCGTAGCATAACTTGCAAGATAGAAGACTCCCAGGCAGTGTTCTCTTATGCTTAGATGCAGGTGAGCTGGTTCCTGCTTCCATCTTTCACTAACTGATGGCCTCTCTCAAGGTTTCTTCTTCAATTATCCCACGGAAAAGGGAATTATCGTGTTTGTCCATTTTCCGTAGCTTGAGACCCTCGATGAAAGACGCTGCATGGGTAAAAAGTGCAAGTGGTGTTATACTTTTGTTATATAGACAATACTTTAAACATAGGCTTAATGTGTGCGTATTTACATACCCATTTCCAATGTCACCCTTGTTTCTGTTACAAAATCCAACTTTCTGTAAAGTTTTCTGAAGAAAAACATTCAAAAGGAAGTAAAAAAAAAAAAGCTGTTGTTCTAGATGTGTCACTCTCAGTAAGGGTAAGTACGGGGAAATTGTTGGGTGGCAGAAGCCTCAGACCCAGAAAAAGAGAGAGCGAGAGAACTGGGGCACATGCAGCGGTTTGGTCCAGGGCTGAGAGTGAATCAGGAATGAGAGAAAACACTGAATTTAAGGATGAACCATGAAGGAAATGAAAATCGGATTTATATCCACTTTTATTTGTTCAAGATACATTATTGAAAACAAAGCACAAGTGAGTGCTTTCTCTCTCTTACAACCCCTCCCCAGTGCAAACCCCTTAGAGATACTGGAAAAGTTGGTCTTGCCATCCCAGTCCCATTAGTTGTTCCTGAGAGCCGAGGGAGATGCTACTGGCAGCACCTTCAGCGGTCGGGAGGAGATGCAGGTACTCCCAACGGCAAGCTTTGTCCTGACCATCTGAGATAAAAGGGATGCTGATGAAAAGAAACAAAACTCAAATAGTTTTAAACAAGCAGGGAAAGAATCCTGTTGGTCGTAATTTATTTGCTGCCATGACCTTCCAATGCAACGTATCTGCTGGTTTTCAAGCCTTCCACGGACTCCTGGAGAGCTCAGGGAACTGCTCGTGCGTGTTTTCTACACGCTGATTTTTACAAAACCATTCTAAAATTTCGGTAAACTTCTCGACTCAGGTAAACCAAAACACTTTTTATAACCACGATTACGCCTGCAGCCAAGGCTTGCACAGCTCCATTTGATCTGTTTCTAAATTAATAATGTTGAGTTGATTGTGAAGGTTTTGAACAGACCTTTAATTTTTCATGTCCAAAAAACCAGTAGTATTGAAGGAGATATTCCAAAATATTCCAGCCTTCTTTATATGATGTACCAAAATAGACGTGGTGAAGCCAAATCGTGCTCATTTTTCTTTAGCGGTCATTTTGAAGTTTGGTACAGCCCTTTTTGTACATGATTTGGTTACTCACAAAAGACTAAGAAATTTAATCCTGCTGTTCAACTAGCTGAAAACGTTGTCGGGAGTTTCTGAGACTGACCATAAAGCTACCTCGAGGCGCCTGCTTTCACCTACGGGTAACGAAGGCTGGATTTTCCCAGGGCTGATGGCAGTTTCTGGACTTCCAGCAAATTGCTTATTGCCCATGCAGCAGAGGACGGCCCTGCTGGGGCCACGTGGGCGGCAGCAGTGGAAGGTGGAGGTTCCCAAGCTCTTTTGAACCCGCTAATTTGAATGCCAGTAATAATCCGGTAAAACGCTGCTGCAGCGCCTGGGCGGCGGCGAGGGGCTGTCTGGAGGCAGACGCTGGGGCGGAGGACGGGAAAGCGATAGTGGTAAAGGTCATCAAATGCCGCGGCTGGAAAGCCTTGCGCGTGGCACGGAAGGTTTCACGGAAGGAAACGCAGGGATACGTAGCTTTCCTTGAGCGGTTGGCAGTTCTCTCTCCCGGTCTGTGTTGAGGTGCCTCCTTCACTGCCAGCCCGGCCGCTGTCACGCTAACCTTGCTTTTCAGCGTGTGTCGCCCGTCCAACTTCTCCCGTTTTCCTGCGGAAAAGCTGATTCCTCTCGTTTTTTGCTGTCGTAACGTCTGATGTTTTCTTTCCAGTTGCCGGATTCATTATAAGGATATGTACAATTTGTTACGCGTAATTGCTCCACCCCTGGGCTTAGGAAAGAAGTGCCCTCATAGGGTGGCATACAAGGTTTGGACCTTCAGAGCCTCCCTCCGGCCTTTTCAGTTCTGGTTTTGTTTCTTTTTACATCCCCTCCACCCCGCTCCAAGTGCAAGTGCAAACAGTACAGAAAAGAAACCGTAACGTAACTAACCCCTTGCCTGAAAAAAAGGAATGATTGACTGACTGCCTCCTTTTCCCGCGGCGCATCTCTTCCCTGCCCGCTCCCACACCCCA